ATTGGATTCGATACAGGCATCATTGGAGGCTGAGACGCGAGCTCGTAACGACCTCGCGAGGCTAAAGAAGAAACTTGAGTCTGACGTGACGGCACACGAGGTCGCCCTGGAACAAGCGAACAGAGCAAACGCAGAGGCACAGAAAAACCTCAAGAATTATCAAGAGCAGGTGAAGCAGCTGCAGAGTCAGATTGAAGAGGAGCAAAAAATGAGGTTCGTTTCCCCCCAAGCTTATATTTCTGCGTGGCTTATAAACAGTACCATTCTCGTCCGGCTTCTATCGTTAATACAGCTTTAGCTAGTAAACCTGTTACAGTTAGATCAAAGTTTTGAGAGGCAGAGAGAGAGACAGAAAGAGAAAGAGAGTACAAACGATAGGTGGAGTCGAAACGATAGGCTTTCATAAATTCCAACTAATAAACAGTAATGTAAAACCGAGCAACAACGTTTGGATTTCCACTGCACTTTTTACACGTGGACCTGGTTCCTTCATACCTTTCTGTTTCCTTTGTTATTTAACCGACCGCCATGAAGCATTTCCAGTCTTGGCTAAAGCATATGATAGATAGGGGCATCAGGCCGTTTCTGTAGAAGTGTGTTTCTGCGCGGTTGCAGAGGTGTTCGGTCGTTTCAGCAGCCCTCGTCTACTTGTGACCTGCAGCACTGTGATAGGTGCCTCTGATCATTTGACGACAAGGCTTGACAAGGTTCCAAAGATGACTACCGTGATATCTTCCTTCTTAATAGCTTCTGCTCCAAATCCTGAAATCACTATTTTGACAGTATGAATAGCATATCAAGGTGAAATAGAAGAGATTTCCAAAACGTGCTCTCTTAAAAAATCGTATGACAAGCAGTCAGTGACAGGCTATTGACTCGACAACGTCAAACATGGAAATATTCAGGTCCTTTGGTCTGCGCGGTTGATAAAGTATCAGGATCATTTGTAAAGCAGTACTACCGTGCATACAAAAATGAATGGTTAGTTAACCTAATCTACAATTGCTTGTCCTAGACAGAATTTTGTCAGGATATATCTATGCCATTTCTCACTTTTTCTCGATGCAAATAACTTTGGGCGTGACACAAAATGATCCTGTATTTTATTCCGACCTTTCGGCTTCCTACATTGAAGCCATCACCAGGAAAATGTTTCTGATAATAGAAAGATGCAGTATAAACAAATTAGAATAAACTAAGGGACTATCTTACGGCACATCCAAAGCCACTTGCATTGAGAAAAGATGAAGAGATTCATCATATTGGCGTATATTGAAAAGTGACGTTCTGAAAATATGTACCTATGTCATTTTTAGAGTCTAGATTCCATTTCTAAATTCCAAAATTCGATGAGAATAAAATGTACTGTATAAAGCTAACATGCAAGTTGTCTGTACTAGAGGTTATGCTGATTTGGTCCTGAGAAACTAACAATACGAGCACTAGGGTATTTCAATTAATTGGATATGGTCAAAAGAAATGGCTAAAAATGTTATTCAAACTAACCGAATCTGAATGCGAGGGAAATGCAGATTTTCAGATCAATATTAAGCCTGAAGTTGCACAATCCCGTGTCAAGTGCTTTTTTGACAGGAAGCAAAATAGAGAGAGACCAGAAGATCTGACAAAGTGGCAGATTGGCAAACAAAGCGCTTAAAATAGTGGTGCCAATGCCAACGAGTGGTCGATTGCCTCTTAGTGAAGTGAACACCGAACGCTAGGCCTGATGTCAGGCGGCGGCAAGGAGAACCATCAACAAGAGGAAAGGATCTCGTTAGACAGAAATGACATCAAGAGGACTGAACAATGAGCGCACATTTATTTAATCCAGCTGTGCTGCTCATTCGGTACCCGGCATCGTCATCGATACAACGAGTGACCAGAAGATAGAGTTACCTGAAGACATCGATTTGTTTGCGATCGAAACATTGATCCACAAAATAGGAGGTTATCTTGATCATCAAAGATTCAGGAAGATGGTCGTTGTA